GCACAAGTTTGACAGGCACAAGTATTTTTTTGAGATGACAGCACATTTAACCTGTCTCTTCTGAAAGTGTTATGCATGATCACCTTGGAGATAGGTAGACAGGTCTGTGAATAAAGTTAATTTTTCTCTCATTCACTTGAAGAACAGAGTCACTTATTCTGGTGACTGAAAAGACGTGACTTTATGTATACAGTCTAAAACATTCAGTCTGTGTATTTTGGGGCATGACTAAAAAGTCACCAGAAAAATCACACAGCTCTAAATTGAAGGTCAGTACCTGGTGTTACTTTAAACTCAAGGTGGAAGTTATTTGCAGCTTCAATCAAAAAGTGTCACAGAAATGTGTCTGATTTCAGGTTAATTTATATGAGAATGATCTCAGAAATTCAGTGGTGTGTCAGACAGTATTCAAGCTGGCTTTGTACTGGGTTTGGTTGGGATGGAGTTAAACTTCACAGCAGTCTGTCCGGTCTGTGCCTTGCATCTGTAGCTAAAATAGCATTGGTAACACACCAAGTTTGGGTATTGCTGAGCAATGCTTGCACAACATCAAGGCTTTCCCTCCAACACCCCACCACCAACTTTAAAGGACTGTATGCTGGAGATGGACAAGAGATTGAGAGGGGAAATAACTGGGACAGCTGCTACAAATAACCCAAGGGATATCCATGCCACATGATGTCTTGCTCAGAAATAAAAGCTGAGGGAAAAGAGGACGATGGGAAGACATTTGTGGTGATGTCATCTGTCTTCCCAAGCAACTGCTATGCATATAGAGGTCCTGCTTCCCCTAAAGTAGCTGGACATTTGTCTGCTGACTGGGCTGTAGTGAATGATTTCCTCCTTTTAGTATGCTCCCTTGTGCAGCTTTTGCTTTTCCTAGGAATTGCACTTATATCAACCCATGAGATTTTCCATGTAATTTTTTCCCCTGGTCTTTCTGAGGAGAGGAGTGAGAAAGCAGCCGGGTGGAAATCTGGCAGCCAGTCAAGGTCAACTCTCCACAGGGTTCTGGACAAAGATTAATTGTCTTGACTGGTTCTTTCCATTTTGGTTACTGCTAATGGCAAAGAAAACAGATGATGTAAACTTCAAAGGCATTCTCATAGGAGAACTGTCGATTTCATTTAATACTGCCAGTCTCGAACATTCAGTAAACATCAGCCCTGATAAAAAGAAGAAAAAACACTTGGGGTTTTACTTGTCAAGCCTTGGTGCGTAAACCCAAAAGGATGTGGTTTTATGACCAGCATGTTCTAGTTCTGGCCTGTGTTGCCCTGCTGAGAGTGGCCCCGCTCTCCTAAGTGCTTGTTTTATATTCCCGCTGCTTTCCTTAGGTCAACACCAGCCGTCAGGAGAAGAGTCAAATGAGCTCCATGATCTGGCTGACAAAAATAGAGACAAGAAGGGTCTTCTTCATTCTTGCAAAATCTTTTGTTTCCAAGGTGGTTTTGCAGTAGCAGGCAGGCTGTGTTCAGTCTGCTATAAAGGTGGTCCAGAAGGAGCAGATGATGCAGAAGGTCTGCACAGGAGTACAGTTTGTCATCACAGTATTTCTCACTCTGTGCAGTAGTCCCTGTCAGCAGGAGAAAAAACAATCACTGATTTCAGTCAAGTGCTTTGACTGCAGTATTTCCGTCTTTGTCCTGCATTGCTTTATGCAAGGTTTAGACATTTACTATTGGTGACTTGGGCTTTTGCTGAAGGATGTGTTTTAAAGTTAGAGACATGGCTGTTACGAAATGAAGGAAGTGCACAGATTCACCCTTGGAGGATTGAAAACAACAAATTGCAAAGTATAGCTTTCAGTGTCAGAGAATATGCTTCTCTGGAAGGGATTTAGTTATTTTTTTACCCCATGAAACAAGTGACATCTCTCAGAAAACGCTCCCTGTGAGGACCTTGATTCTTCAGGAGGTAGAATGAGTTAGTGATCAGAGATGAAATGCAAAGGTTTTTTCAGCACAGCAGCTGGCTGCTCGATTTTCCAATACAGTACATTACGTTGTTAATGGAAATGTTGCTTTATACCTTCTGTTTGTCTCCCAGTAGAATTAATTTCAGCACTGTTTGCATGCCAAGCATGCACACTCACAGCTATGAGCTCTGGGGAGAGGGAGAAGGCACAGCTTGGACAAAGATTCTGCAAGAGGGCTGGGAGCTGAACCTGCTGCCTTTGCCAAGTGACTTCACCACATGACCATCTTTTCTCCTGCCCATAGGAACTGTCTCACACCACTACAGACAGGCATCAGGAGCCAGCAGATTCGGGGAAAAGCATCTGGCTGTTTCAAAGTCCTTTGGGAGATCTGCAGGAACAGGAGTTTTCTGTTCCACTCTGTGATGCAGCAAAGAGGGGAAAAACACCCACCATTTCCCACAGAGCAGCTAACCCTTCCCAGTTTGCTAATCCATCCTACACTCCTGCTCCTGCCAGGAATTAATCTGTTTCAAGGCTCCATGTGTCATTTATTAAGAAATAAGACAGAGCAGGGAGGAATAGCTTTTAAAGAAGAAAGCCACGTATGGGCTGGGAAACACAGGTTGCCAAGTCTTTGGAAACACTCAGAGATGAAAGTACCAGAGGAGTGCCGCATGGCAGTGCTGCTGGTATAGGTACTGTGCTGCTAAAATAGCTCTCCACGTGCTGGTCATGGAGAGAGACAATTGTGGAGCCGGGGACACAGAGGTCACTAAATCCGATGGTCACAAAATGGGAAAGTAAAGGGAGCAAATTCTTCCATGCAGTAGGAGTCACTGACCCAAACTGAAAACTCTGGGGAAAAAAGAAAAAGGGCATGTACGTACTTCCTTGGGAGCTGACTGCGAATGAAGCAGATTGGTTTTCACTTGGATTTGCAGCCACATGTTTATGAGGAAAATGAGGGTGGAAAAGCTGGAGAAACAGCAGGAGAGATTTCTGAAAGGACTATAGGCTTGCACTTGAGAGAGGGAAAAGTACCTCCTGCTGTGTATGTGTGCAGGTGCTCAAGGTACACGAACTTCAGGAACATCCAACTTGTATTTCATCCTGCTAGAAGCAAGTCACAACTCCTAATTAGCTGCTAAGACCAAAAGCCGATCATCGATTTTCCAAGTGCTTAGAAAAAAGAAGAGTGAAATTTGAAAATGTGAGGCAGAGCTTTTGTTCTATTATTGCAGTGCCAAAGCACAGCATCTTTAAATAAAGTCAGCAGTATTATTTTGTGTGTGCTTAGGAGGAAACTAATCCCTCATCCAACATTACCTGAGTTTGCAGAGTTACCCCAGTGTAAATCAGGCCATAACTATATATGCACAGCCATTGACTTATTTGGTCCCAATCAGCATAACTGCTATCACTGTTTTGTATATCAGAAGAAATAAAAAAACCAGAAAACTTGTTTACTGGCAACTTTGTTTCCGGAAAAACAACTTGCATATATTTTCCTACATCTCTGGAGAACAAAGCCTTTAATATCAACAAGAAAGAAACTTCCTAAAGTCAAAACCTTAGAATCATTAGGGTTGGAAAACATCTCTAAGATCACTGGGTCCAATCATTAACCCAGCACTGATCTCTTCTCTCTGGCAATCAGTGACAGGACCTGAGGGAATGGCCTGAAGTTGTGTCAGGGGAGGTTTAGGTTGGATATTAGAAAAAGGTTCTTACCCCAGAGGGTGGTTGGGCACTGGAACAGGTTCCCCAGGGAAGTGGTCACAGCACCAAGTCTGACAGAGTTCAAGAAGTGTTTGGACAATGCACTCAGGCACATGGTGTGACTCTTCGGGATGGTCCTGTGCAGGGCCAGGAGCTGGATTTGATGATCCTTGTGGGTCCCTTCCAACTTAGGATATTCTGTGATTCTGTAATTGTAAGAGACTCTTATTTTCAGCAGTTTGATGTGCATTAACTATGCTTTCTAAAACATAGGAATACTGTTGAAAAGGGCTCCAAAAGCCCCTGCAGCAATGCTCCTCCGGTTTTGTCTCCCAGCAGGCAGCAGGCAAACAACACAACATCCCTAACCAGCTCATTCCCAAAGGCCCTCTTCTTTGTGGGGGATAGGGAAATCAACCCGCTGGGACTATCGTCCCAAAATAGGTTCTTTCACCCGGCATGCAAGAAGCCAATCCACAGAGTCCAGGTAATTGATTTATTTACAGTTCTGCACAGAAGCAGTGGCAAATCCAGAAAGCCAGCAAAAACTTTTCACCATTTATACATTTTAGCAAGCAAAGGCATTAATGTTCAGTGGCTACAAGTTACCTAGTTCTCTTATTAATCAGTATTAATATATTGCATTAATTAATTATTATTCTATCTTCTATTGGTTAATGATTCTCTCGCTTCTCATGCTAGTTATGTCCACATGCTCAGTCTTTCACTTCTTTTGAGTCAGTGGGCTTTTTGGGTCCCTGAGTTGGTGGTCATGATCTGCCCCTTCCAGAACCACCTTTAACCCAGTCAGAGCTGATTTCAGCACAATTGCCAAGCTGCCTTTATTAGTTTCTTCCTTATCTTGGGGGCTCTGCCAAAAGTCCTTGTGGCCTGTAAATTCTGCATTCTTTGTATCCACCGTCAGTGGCACATCCTTCTTCCCAAGCTTTGTTAACATCCCAGTAGGCCTGAGATCATTGAAACAAGTCGAGCCCCAAACCTTAATGATTCTACCAACAAGTAATTCGTTTTTCCAACCTGGACATCACTTAGAGCTTGTTAGCTGCCGTTTCGCGGACTAAATCTCCTTTCTCGTTGATTAGGCTTAAAAGCATACAAAGATCAAACATCAAAGGACAGCCTTCCTTAAGAAAACTTTTACGTGTTCCACATTTTTCAAGAGGACTGCTGTCCCACCTTTGTCCCACCCGCCCCGGGGTGCCCCACACACCCCGAGGTGCCCCGCACACCCCGAGGTGCCCCGCACACCCCGAGGTGCCCCGCACACCCCGAGCCCCGCTGAGGGGAGCGGGCGCTGCTCCCGCCATTCCCGCGGGAGCCGCAGGGGGCGCGGCGGGGGCGGCGCCGGCAGGGCCGGGGTCCAAGATGGCGTCGGGGCCGCCTCCGTCGGCCGCGAAGCTGTACCGGCCCAACGCCTACGTCTCGCTGCCCGCCGAGCTCGACCCCGACACCTACGATGCGTCGCCGGAGAAGCGCCGCGCCGAGGCCGAGCGCCTGGCCATCCGCGCCCGGCTCAAGCGGCAGTACCAGCTGCAGCTCAACAACCCCAACCCGCCCGCCGTCATCGTGAGTGGGGGGGAGGGGGGGAGCGGGCGCGGGCCGAGGGGCAGCGGGGGGAGCGCGGGGCTCGTCCGCCTCACCCGGCGGGGTCCGCGCCGGGCCTGGGGCCGGGGCTGTGCCCGGGGCCGTGCCGGCGGGACGCTGCCCGTCCTCCCCGTGACCTTGGTGCCCTTCCCGGCGTCCCCCGGGTGGAGTGGCCATGGCAGGGCCCCGCAGGCCTCACCGCGGTTTTCTTTGCACCCCAGGAAGACCCCGCCATGATCCGCTGGGTCTATGCGAGGACGCACAACGTGTACCCTAATTTCCGCCCAACCCCCAAGACGTCCTTTCTAGGAGCTGTTTGTGCGATAGGCCCCATCCTCTTCTGGATCGCTGTCTTCAAACTTGACAGGGTAAGTCATCTGGCGACACCGAACGTCGGTGAACAGCAAAAACACCGGATTGTGAAGTATAGATCTGCACCTCAGAATGATTAATACCATTAAAGTAATGAGGGAAGGAAGACTGATACCGAGCCTGCTATCTCAAAGCCTCGTAACTGGTTGCAAAGTCCTGTTTTTCTAAGAGCCTTTTATTGTATGCTGGGGTATGGCCAGTCACAGTTTGCCTGATCAGGCCGTTTTGCTGTAATAAAGCTCTCTGTAGCACTGATAGTGGAAATTAATCATAAGAGACTCTTATTTTCAGCAGTTGATATGCATTACCTATACTTTCTAAACTTAAATAGGAAGCTTATGGAGGACAGACTTATCAATGTCTCAGTGCAATTGCTTGACCATTTCTCTAATCTCATGAAACAAATCAGGAGGAGTTATAATAATGTTGATTGCAGTGCCTGACCTCAGCTGGTTGTTGTAAGATTTTGGAAGGTTTATCTTTCTTCCATTCTAACTCCTAAAATGTGGACATCAGAATCTGAGAATGGTAGATGATTATGAAAAACCTCAGCTGTATGCATACATAAGAAAATTCTAGGTAACTGGCAGACAGTGGCTGGTTTTTGTAGAGAGTTTGGAGCTGTTGTAAAACATTTTTTGTTTCCCTCTTTTGCACAGAAGTAATATTTTAGATCAAGTCACTAACATAAATTAATAGAGTCTTTGTAGGGAATGTTGTTTACTAGGATGAATCGAAAATACAGGTTTTAGGAAACATGCTGAGCATGTTGATATGAATATTTTTGAGACTTCAGTACCTCTGCAGTATTTTGTCATACTGAGGTCTTTAATTAGTGCCCAGGATAATTTGTTTTCCTTTATTGCAGTTCCTTTAGTGATGTTTGGGGATTTTTCTTGTTTTTCTGATAGTAAATAACGCACAATAATCATTATACATTTTTCTCTGAGAAGTGTTTGCTCTTTGTCTGGGAAAGCAAAAGATACACTGTTAAGTCTTAAGCAAATCTGCTGGTTTTATCCAGCAGAAGGAATCTGGGCAGTATCCGCAGTGTCCTGTAATGGTACCTGACAGAAAGGTAAATGACTGCAGAGTGAGATACAAAAGGGTTGAAAGTGAGCACAGTCAGACAAGTTATTAGGAAGTTTCTCCATAATTATGTCTCTAAGCTGGATTATTCAGCCACAAGGAGGAGGTAGAAACTAAGGTACTACAAATTAACTGTTACACAACTAGTTTGGTGAAAAATACTTCACAGGAATTGGTCTCTGCTAGCCTGTAAGAGTAGCTAGATGTGAGGTGAGGTCAGTCTGAGAAGGTCTTTAGTAGGTGAAATTAAGTGCCTTATCTTTTTAACCACAACAGCTCTTACCAGAGTATGTGCTTATAGAATCATTTAGAGTGGAAAAGACCCTTAAGATCATATATGGTGCTGTCTCTGTGTAGTCCATGCTGAAATACTAGAGCTGCTGTTCTCTTATCCCAGGCTGATTGAAATCCTTCTCTAGTAAAATAATAACAAATGTTCTTTTTCTTCCACAGGACCATAAAGAGAAGCTTATCAAAGAAGGTAAATTCGAGCGGCCATTCAGTGTATTCTGAGTTCCTGGAATTGCAGTGATGTTCATGGAATATAAATAAAATAAGATATATTATGTGCTGACGTTTCTCCTTCATAAGAATAAATCTTAATTGCTTGTTGGTTGTCTTGCATCTTTAAAAATAATGGAAAGTGTGATAAAGTAGGATCTCTGTATCTAAACCAGATGGATATAGAGACAGTGTCTGAAACTTGGCCAGTGCATTCTTTTGATCTATGTACAGAGGCTCCTTTTAAACCACGGTAGTTGTTGCTGTCTAAGCAGGCTGAAGTCTAAGATTACTAGCCAGGTAAAATGTTAAGTAAGACCAAAGCACTTTCCTAAAGAACTATTGCTTGCCTTCCAGATATTTCTTCCTGGTGTCAGTTTGACTGTGTGGTTTGCCCTAATTGGGAATAGGCAAGTTCTGTGATACATTTTTAAGAACCTGGGAGCCTGCCTGACTGGTCTAATAAGTTGAATTAATTTTTCTTTTCCTTAATAAAATGCAAGCCTAAATCATGTATATTGCAGTAAACTTCTGGATAAAATTACAGTACCATATTTGGAAACAGTGAGCTCAAGGTTGTCATGCCATACATGACTAGCATTTCTACTAATTCCATTATTCCTGTGAGTGGGAGATAAGAAGTAAAAGAGAAAGATTTTTGTTTTGACACTGGATCCCTTGCAGTATAGGAAAATTCTGTTTCATCCCTGTAAAGGGGCTGTGTTCAAAAACAAGAAACCAACACCAAGCGAGCCTTGTGCCTGCAAAGATGCCTCCTCTGTTTATTCTTAGAAGAACACAAGACTTCTCTACCCAGGTCAACTGGTATAGATGACTCTGGAATTGTTACTGCCAAGGTACTGGAATGTGAGTGCAAGAAAAGATTTTTAATTCAGAGTTGAATTTTCAAGTGGCCTGTAGGTGCCATTGTGACCCAGACAACCTTCATTCTTTGGACATTGTATGGGAGTGGTTTCTTCCCAAACGTTGAGGTTAATGCCAAAAGCTCAATCTGATGCAAAAGTTGAAAACTTCCCTCTGCCTTCTGGGAAAGCAGCCAATGTTAAGTCAGCAAAAACAGCTCTACCGAGTAAATATGGGCCATTTGCTTTCCTGAATGTAAATATGGGCCATTTGCTTTCCGTCTTCAGCAGAGTGAGTTAATGAGCTTTTTCACATAATCACAAAATGGATGAGGTTGGAAAGGACCTCTAGAGGTCATCTGGGTCCAACCTCTTGCTTAAGCAGGGCTGTCTAACGCGGGTTGTCCGGTGCCATGTCCACGTGGCTTTTCAGTATCTCCAGGGTTGAAGACTTCACAACCTCCCTGGGCAACCTATGCCTGTGCTCAGTCACCCTGGCAATAAAAATGTTTCCTGAAGTTTATTTTTGTTTATAATTTCTTTAAGTGTTTCCTGTTGTAGCTCTTTCCTTTCCTGTCTGGGTCGCGAAACGTTCAGCCTGCGTGGAGTTTGGCACTAATTCTGCGTGCAGAAGCTGTGCGAAGACGTGCCCTGCTTTTGCAATCCCTTATGTGCTCCCAGCAACCCTCTTGCCCTTGTTTCTGCAGCTTGTTCTTGGGCAGGGTTAACTAAAGCAAACCTGGATTATTCTCTCTGCAGAACAGCTTCTAAAAGACTGTCACAAATGATATTACAAGATATGGCTGTGGATCCATGCAGAGAGGCATCAATGCATGGAGAGAGTGGTATTTAGGGAAAGAAATAATTGCTTGTCTGCGCATGCTAAATTAACTATTCTTGCTGCCACAAACTAATTTGATCTCCCAGGACCCATTTCCTCAGCTAATTGCAACTCGAGTTGCCACGCATGTAAATTCTCCCTTGCAGCTGTATTTGTTTCAGGCCAGCTGAGCCGATGGTTTGGGATGGATTGTGGATGAGCACAGTGCCTCTGGTCTTTCAGGCCAGCCTCAGATTGATGCTTGCGGCACCTGCCACAGCCCTTTCCTGTGCAGATAAAAGTCTCTGATGCTACATCCCTGCGGATTTGAGCGTGGTGCTTGGGGAAATGCTGCCCTACTTTTCTCATTATTTGCAGAACTCTCCATGCTGTTTTCTTGCAAGGAATGAATGTGCCGTGCTACTAGAGGTGGGGTTGGTGTTTGAGGCAGTGGTGCTGGGTGCATAGAGGAAGGAAAGGGAATTAAGTTTCCCTTTAGATATGTAGAATGAAGACAGGGAATTAAATGTGCTTTGCGGAACTTGACCCTTGATTGATGTGTTACCACCCATATCTGCTTCAGTGATATGTCTATACAAGAGAAATTCAAGCCTGCTGGTCACCACATGATAATTTAAGTCCCAAACAGAAAACAAGCTTTTCCCCTTTGCACGTGAAACATTCAGACCTCATTTATCCCTGAATCAGTCTGATTAAATCAGCTTGTCTGGCAAATTGATTCTCCCGAACGTCCTTTTCTGAATTGGTTATTTTAGAGTAAACATCTCCGTGTAGATTTTATAATGTAATACTTTGCTCAAAGCTGATGCTTTTTTTCCCCCAACGATCTGGTGCAGATCCAAAACTGATGATGGATGTAGCTGACTGAAATTACATGTCGCAGTTCTACATTTCCTTCTTTTTTGGAAAATTGTTTGTCTTGGGAAATAAGAAACATAGATTCTGGTGGCACCAAGCTTAGAAACCTTCATGGGGGTATGTGGTAGAGACCTGAAGTGTGAGGTGTCTGGGCTGTCCTCCTGGTTCCCACCCTATTTGGGGCTTTTTTTTCTGTATCCACCAATGCAATGCTGCAAATTAGCACTGAGCTAGGGAGAGGATTTGTCAAGTGCTGACAAATGAGTCAATGTTGAAGGATGGCCAGGGCGTGGAACAGAAACTTTCCCTTACTTATCAGTGAAATGCTTTGGATTCTCCAGCCTTTTTTCATCTGTGGTCTACTTTTCTGACAATCAAGTCTTTCCTTTGGCAACCCTCCACAGATGAGCAGGTTGAAGTATTCTGCTCTAATAGGGGGCTTAGGTCTGATAGAGCCTTCGGCTCTGTAAAGCTCTTCCCATACAGACAGCATGAAATGCTTTGTCAGTCCCTAGCTTCTCCCTGTGAAAGACACGTGGGGTTGTATTTTCTGAAAACCCTCTGAACAAGAGCCGACTGTCACCTTGTGTCCACACAAGGTGCAGCTTTCACACCAACTATGTATGGTGAGAGACACGCAAGTACTTCAGCTTCAGTGTGTCACCAGGAAAGCTTTAATTGGATACTTGAAAGTTAAGAATAATGGTGTTCTTTTACTGAATTTCCCAAGTTACATAGGGATGATCATTTTCGTGGCTCGGTGGCTGCTGGAAGTGCCGTTCTGTGCTAGGGCACTCTGCATTGCCCGAGTTGACTGTGCCATCACACGTAGGTATGCTGGATTTCCCTGCCTTCACTCATGTGTTGCAAACAGCAAGCACCTTCTCTTTACTTGCATTTAGGGTTGAAATGGCTTTTCAGAGGTTCCCAGCACTTGTAGTAGTTTTTATCTAGGCGGTTGGAGGTCTGGAGGCCCCACTTGGTGACAGCAAGGCTGAGGGATGATTCGAACATGAAGGCCTGTTGGGAAGAGGGAAGGTAGGTTAGGGCAGGAGAGAGAGAGTTTAAATCCAGGCAAGGTGTCTGCTCTGCCACAAACAGGATTTGTATGCATGGTCCAGCACTGCCAGGCTCTGTCTCCAACCTGATCAACCCAGGGGAAGAAAGATCTTATCTGGCATTGCAATGCTGGTATTAGTCACGTCTCAGGAGTGACTTTGGACTCCCTGCACACCCAGACAAGCCAGGTTCTTCCAAAAGCTCTAGTTCAAGGTCTGTTGATAATCATCATTAGATTTTAGGGGTAGAGACAGGAGGACAGTCAAGGGGTTCGCTTCTTTGTCCAAAAATTCAATTAATCAGTCTGAAAATTCCCAGCTTCCTGCACAGGCAACAATTTACATGGGCAGATGATCAAAGCTGCTTGCCATCGTATGTCTCCAGGGGAGCTCCTGCGAGTTGAATGGTGCTGATCAGTAAGGGAGGTGAATGCTGCAGCACTTGGGTCCAAGTACTTTTCCAGCTTGCCAAAATGCTACAGTACTAGGCTGTAGTTTAAGAGTGGCACTATGCCAAGCTGTATTCAAAGTCTTACTAGCTCCTTTGGCTCCTTACCATGGTCCCGTCTGCAACCCTCTCAGGCTCCAGCTTGGCTTTGCTCGCCTTCTCAAAACAGTCGGCATCCGGCCCGTGAGGGGTCATCATGCTGTGCAAGCTGCCGCCTCCAGGCTGAAAGCCTTCCTCCTTTGCTTCATAGTGGCCCTTGATGAGCCCCATGAACTCACTCATGCAGTTCCCTGGAGGCAAAGAGAAGAGTTTGCAAAGAAGTGTGACTGGGAGGGATCACAGCTATGCTGTGAGCTCCTTGAAACCCATGAGCTTAGCTGGGCCAGGTTGAGGGTGGAGTGGAAGTTCCTTAGAAGGGTATCATGTGAGGGCACATCAGGGATTCTACAGGCAGCGCTTTTAAAGCTGTACAGGATTTTATTATCTGGATTCAGAAACAGAGCTCCTTAATGAAGACTCTTTCTTCATTATGAATCACCCTAATGAAGGTGGTTCCATCAATCCCCAAATGATTGATGCACAGGTAGACCTGTGGTTTTCTTACCACCTTGAGCTTCTTAAGTACTACACCAGCATATGGACTGCATGGTGTAACCTAATTTTACACACTTAGATTAGAGATCTTAAAGTGCCGGAAAGGAAGCTCTGTGCTACAGACACAAAATGCCTGCCTGGTGAGGGAGCCTCATCTGCTGTCCCAGGTTATAAGCATGAAATTATTTTGTTTGATACTCTTCTACCACCTCAAGTGCAGCAGATGCTTGACTAGCTTATGCTTTTGATTCATGCAGTATCTACCTATCTTACTACAGCCACTGTGTGCCCAAAGGCAAGGAACCGGATTCTGCCTTTCCCTAAGGAAGGTCTTCTTCTTTAAGAAGACCCTCTGAAACAAATGAAATAATATACGTTAGTAACACTAATCTAAGTTAGTAACACTAACTTAGGTAAGGATGGCTATATCTAATAATTCAGTACTTACTG